CCGCCCAAGCCGCCGCCCAAGCCGCCGCCCAAGCCGCTTCCCCCGCCGCCGCCGAAGCCGCCGCCGCCCCGAGATTGCGGCGCCAAATTCAGCAGAAAAACGGAGCCCGAATGTAGCACAAACAAGGTAGCTGTTGGTTTACATACATAACCTGATTTAATTACTCAAATGAGGAAGAAAGTATTTTCTTGTGGGTCTGTGTATTCTCAAATTCTTAGGGCAATTTAAAAAAAATGACAGACTACTTCTCTAGTCTTTATCTAGTTCCAATAGTAGACTTCGATGGCCTTCTATTTACTTATTCATTCATTTAACAATGAATTTAACAATGAATTAACAAGTAATTTAGTGGGGATCTATTTCCAAGTATGCATTTTACAAGATACTTATGACTTGGGAAATGGAAGTGCTTCCTTATTCTGGTCTGGTTCCCTAAGTAGATGTGGTAAGATTAACCAAAAAGGGAATATAAGGAGTATAAGAGTATAAAGGAATATATTATTATTTTTCTTTGATTTCATATCAGATTTGTAACAAGTTGCTCGAGATCTGAGGAAGTATAATGAATTAAACTTCTTCAGTTGGTTTAGAAGGCCTAATTATGTATTTTTCTTGACTTTGTTTCATAAATTTTTAATTATCAAAAGAATTACGTATTTTCCTCCTTTTCTTACTTGTAAATTCCTGTGGTTTTGAATGAGTCTGAAACCTCAAAATTAAAACCCACATACTACAGGTTAATATTTTGCCTGACCCTTTTCCAAATAAATTGAAGAATCTACCAAGAAAGATATTATTTCCCACAGGTACTTTTGATTTGCTCACTCTTCTTACTTTATTTCAATTGGCATTATCAGATTCTAGACCTCAGAAGAAGTTTTATTTATTCCATTCAGACTTGGAATTTCTTTCAAATTGAACGAGATAATTCTTGGTGAAATCATTTAAATGTTCTAGGTAAAGTCTATAATATACAGTAGATTCACATTAAACTAAATTTATTTCTTTTTACTTCATTCAACTGTTAAAATCATTAAAGAAGATAATTTAGATGATATAAACAAATTTTATTTAACACTTCATGAAGTGGACTGTCATATTGCAGAGAACTGCAAAATGGGCAGAAGGCAAGAGATTTTTATAGGATAAAGAGTAAAGAGCAAGGAAGAGGAAAATAGAAAATATCTGATTGGCTGAGGCTACACAACTTTTAGGGTGAGAAGACCCAGAGGTCTAACCGTATAAGGAAGTACTAAGCATATAAGGAAGACAAAGGATAACTTGGACTTAAAAAAACACCAAATTTATTTTTATAAAATGACACAATAGAGGTAACTGTAAAATACAGAATAGAAAAAATGTCTACAAATGTTTGACAGATATATCTAGAATATACAGATACATTCAGCAATAATATCCAGACCTCAGAATCATAGTGTTGAGTTAAGAGAGTAGGAAACAGAATAAGGCATCATTCAGTTAACTTAAAGTACGTATAATTACAAAAGATATTTAAAAGAAAATGGTAAGGGTTTCAAACGTCTCAGTAAAAGTGAGTGGGATGAGAATGGAGATCAAGAAAGGAAAGAAAGTCAAATGGAACAAGGGATTGGGTTTCCACAAACAGTAAAACAATGAGCTGCTGAGCTGCAAACCCAAGATGTGCTTAGCCCTGCCCTGCCAATTGAAGGAGGTCAAATGAAACAATCAATCAAGAAAATAAGACACCTTGGTGAGAGTTAATTAGAAAATAAATACATTGATTTTTTTTCAGAATTTTACTATGACGTCAACTCTTTTTGCTTCAATTCTTTTTGCTGCCTGTTCCTCTTCCACAGTTTTAATACACCCTGAAGGCTGAGAGGGTTAGCTCCATAACTAGAAATAATTTAGAGAGAAAGAATCATTGAAATATAAAAAGGAAACATCCTGCATCACTCTGAGCATTTTTTATGGCAGTGTAAATTCCCTTCATTCAAAAAGCATCTTTTAATATTTAAATAGGATACTGTGTTCTATGAAAGAAACATCGGATTTTAGGAATGCAAATGAGGGTGCGCTATGAAACAAAGATGCAGAATTTAAAAGGTAATATGCCCTTCAGCAAGCAGCAGTAAAGAGAAAGGATGTTGGGAGGGATCAAGGAAATATTGTGATTTTTGAAATGAAAATTGTACTAGCATTTTTCAAATTTAGCAGTTTGACAAGGCTAATGACAGTTGTAGTACACTTTTAGTTTAAAATGCAAGAATTATCTTTGGCTAATAAACAGGAAATCAATCCAACAGGATGTGCTTATTAGCATTAACTAGGACCCTGTATAGGTTCCTGATAGCACCTCCCTCTGGCCAAGTAGGTGCGCAGGATTCCATTCAGTTGCTGTCTGGGCTCCCTTCTTCTCCCCTTTCCCTTTTTTTTTGCTCATTGCTAGAAAACAAGACATTAATTGCAGATTCAGCTATAAAATATAGCTAAGTTTTAGTTTTCCCATTTTAAACACGAAGGAATTGAGCCTCTGAAAGGTTAAGCAGTTGGCCAAGTGACAGAGCTGGGACTAAAATCCAGGACTGCAGTGAAAGCTCACATTCTCAAGAATGAGACTGCATCGCCGTAGAACTGTAACATAGGCCTTCCTCATTCCTAAAGGAGAATTTTGGACACATCTTCTTTAAAATTAAATTTGTGTTGTTTCTTTGTTTCTAACAGGAAAGGAAACCTGCCTAGAAGAAAAACTTCAAAAGAGCCACGATTTTCTCCCTCAATCAGGATGGGATGCATTGCTGGGAAGGTATTGTGTGAACTATTTTCTTAAGTTTAAAAAAAGGAAAAATAAGGTCAATGCTTGTCCATAGCCCAGGCTACTTGCCAAGGCTGAGACTTTGGAATTAAGCAAGCTACCCACACCTAGACTCCACACTCAGGCTCTCCTTCCTACTAAGAAGCTGTGGGTGTCGTAGACGTGATTGAGGATCACGTTTGGCTAGCCCTGTGTCTTCCATATGCCTGAAAAACAGCCACAAACTCAACCAGTATTGTCAGGTATCCCCTTAAGCTATCAGGAATTATGTGTTAAGATACTGTAGTGCACATTTAAGCTACATGGAGTCATGATGCTGATGAAAGAACAAAGACTTAGGTCTTTATTGTGCCACTTTCATCTTATTCATTACAGTAAACTAGCATATTAACCAACATTTATATCAGGACTAGGAGAGTCAGTTGTTAAACATTTACCAGCAGGCGACAGGACAATCAATTATGTTTACCACAAATTTCATGTCCCACAATGTAGAAGACATATAGTCAAAATGAGAGATGTCCAGAAAGGAATATATATAAAAAACAATAAAAGGACATCTTATTAAAAAAATCAGTTAAATGTACTTATGATGTCTTGTCCTGCAGACGATAAGATTCACAATGTATATTACAGTGCTTATCAAATAACTGAGGTCTTAAGACTTCCGCGGTCCCAGTGGGTAGTCTCACGCATGACTTTAGGCTAAAAAGGCACACACTTTTCACCTCAATCTTAGGAAGAATTTTCTAGCAGCCAGAACCACCCCAAGGTGATTATTTATGTTATGGTTTACACTGGGAGTTAATGCACTTCCTACTCCTGGGCAAACTGAGATATGAGCTTAATAAACATGTGATATGAAGCATCTAACTGAGAAAGCTTTCTAAAGCAGGTGAATCTTTTTAGATCTTTCACAGTATTAAGGCCATGTGAGTCCGAGAATGAAGATATTTCTGAATATATTTATTTGATGTCACATCAATTTTATCTATTCATTCATTTAATATGTTGTAGATTTGTTTGTTTCATTTCAGACACAGTTCTAGGTCCTGATGAGAGAGTCAATAATAAGATGGGTAAAACTCCTGGCCTGCTTAAGCTGGGAAAGACAAATGATAAACATGAACAAATACATAAAATAATTTTAAATAGTGATAAGTACTAAAAAAAAAGAAATTAACAGTATGGGGGATAGAGAGCATTAAGGTGGAGGGAAGAAAGTTTGCTTTGGTTAAGATTATATGGAATGGGTGATCTTACACCCTCTCTGTGGAGATGATATTTAAACGAAGAACTGAATGGTCAAAAACAGTGAGCAGTGATAAAGGTGCCGGGTCAGAACAGGAAGCGAGAATATCCATTGTAAAGGTCCTGAAACAGCAGTGAGCTGTGCACACTTAAAACAAGGCCGTTATGGCAAGAAAGAGAAGAGTCCTCGTCAAGGTCAGGGAGGCAGTAAGGAGACAGACGCGGCACAGGCTTGTGGGCCATGTGACCGAGCGTGGGCTTTATTCTAATTTCAGTGGAATATTGTTTTAAACAGGAGGTTGATATGATTTAAACTATATTTTTAAAGATAAAGTGGCTTATGTTCTGAAATAATTCAGGAACAGATTTGAGAGTCAGGTGTAGGGAAAGATTGAGAAGTGAAGCTAGATTTGTTTATATTTATTTATACATGCAGCCAAATCAGTAAACTTCTCCTCTGCTGGACCTCTAGATCCTGGATACACGTGCCCAGAGAATCTGCCAAGTTCAGCTTGGTGGGTATCTAAGCTTTAGTCCTAAAGCGGGGCTGTTGAAGCCCATCTGTTCTATGAGACCTTATGAAAATAAAATAAGA